AAAAAAAAAAAAAAGCCATCAATCAATTAGTTATTTTTTATTATTTGTTTTCTGAGTCAGAGTCTTGCTGTCTTGCCCAGGCTCAATCTCAGCTCACTGCAATCTCCACCTCCCGAGTTCAATTCTCCTGCCTTGGCCTCCCAAGTAGCTGGGATTACAAGCATGTGCCACCACACTTGACTAATTTTTGTATTTTTAGTAGAGACAGCGTTTCGCCATGTTGGCCAGGCTGATCTCGAACTCCTGACTTCAAGTGATCCACCCACCTCAGCCTCCCAAAGTGCTGGGATTATAGGCGTGAGCCACTGTGCTCAACCCAATTGGTTATTCTTGAGACAGTCAGGTTGGTTTCAGTACAGCGATCCATCCAAGGGCAGAAACAAGTCCAGGAAGCCCCATTCTCCTGCAACTGCCTGTCTAGTCCTCCAGCCCACTGTGCCAAGGACACAGGACCAGGTGAGAGATCCTTGGCTTTTCAGATACAACCTAGTCTCCATCCTCCCCACCCCACCCTTGGAGGACAGCCACCCTCCTACTGGCCATGAAGCTGGGTACCCAGGCTATTGCTCAGTCACAGAGTAAATAAATAACCAGGATCCAGGGAACCAAACTGCCAGATAAAGGCAGCCATGAGACTCAGGGGACACCTACCGTGCAGGCTGTCCTGCCAAGACCCCAGGCTCAGGGCCACGTTGGAGTCAACCAGCCACCAGTGACGCATCAGAGGGAGGACAGCTCTTCAGGCCGCTGGTACAGGCTCTAGCTTCTCTGGGAGACTTAGGAAGCCCCTCTGTCCCTGTCCCCAGGCAACGCCTCCTCTGCGGGTGCAGGCACCGCATGTACTTATCACACCTCAGCCAGTCACAGGGGTTTGGAGCAGGGATTCGAACTGGAAAAGTGCCCTTGCCAATGTCCCAAGATGCATTCCTGACCCAAGCCAGGAGGAGCTGAGCTGTGAGCTAGCAAATGAGGACAGAGGAGCTGGAGGCGCCTCCTTGCTGGGAGTGTGGAGAAAAGGAAGTGCCAATCCCAGCTGCAAGGAGAAATGTCCAAGGCAGAAAGCCATGTTGGTCCCAGCCGCAGGGCTGAGCGAGAGATCTAGGTTCAGACTCATCCAGGAGGGGCCTGGAGGTTGAGAGTTACAAAAGAAGAGTTCCGTTTAGGTCTTGGGGGCGACTAATCTCACTTAAGGAGTACATCAGAGAGATGAGTGGACAAGCCCACTTGTTTCCCACTGGGGTCAGGACGAAGGGTCTAGGCTGACCAGCTCCGGGAAGAAGCTGACCCCTCCGGACTGCATTCTCCTTTAAACCTTTCTCCTCCTCTGTTCTGCCCTTCTGTTGCCTGCCACTGCCGGCGGTCAAGCATGGACCGTGTATACCTTGTTCTGGGGAATCTGATTACACCCTGGACACTGGTGTGTGGATTGCAGTCTGCTGCAGGATGACATTACAGTTTAGTTGTTTTTCTTCTAATGGGGCTCCATTCTGTGAGTATGGTAGGAAGTGGTTTTAATGCATTGATAAATCAACCTCAGGGAGGTATTATGTACAGAAGATTCCCAAGGCTGCAATTGCTAAAAGAGACTTAGGCTACTGGTGGGGAACTGGGTGAGCCCCCTGAGCTCAACAGAGTTGCTTAAGAGAAGCGGAAGAGAAGCTGCCTAAGACCATGTTTTTTGTGCCTTTTCTGATCGGGGTTTCGTATGTATTTGGGGACATTGCTCTATGGGAACAAGCAAAAGGATCGTTTTGTTCTGATGAAATTAGGAATTGATTTGGTGAAAGACACTTCCAACTCCCTTACCCACCTCCCTTCATCCCACTCATTTGGCAAAACCACAACCCTGGGGCAAATTCACTTCTCTGCCTCCTCACACTTGGACTTGTGTGGGTAAACTTTGGGAATCTCAGCTGTGCAGGCCAGTCACTTGAAATTCATGACCATGGGCTCCAAGTGGGCCCTGATGCTGTGAGGGGTCGAATCACCTTTTGTTCCCCGAGATGGTTCTCTTCTGTCTTCACATCTACCCCTTCTTCCCCCTGTTTCACCAAACCGCCAAGACTCACCACCGAGTCTCCCCATCTCCCAGCGCCCCTCTTCAGTAGCCATCCCCCTTCACCCGAGGCGATGACTCACTTGATTTCTGTCACGAGAGATGTAGAGACACATATTTTTGCCTGTTCTAGAAACTAACATAAATGGACTCCATCAGTTTGGACGTTTTTACCTGGCTTCTTTCACTCATCATAATATTTTCAACCTAAATCATAGTCCTATATATGTCAATAGTTTATTCCTGTTTATTTCTGAGAAATATTTCATTGTGTGAATATGCCATAGCATGTTTATCCACTCACTTGTTAATGGACATTCAGATTGGTTCCAGTTTTTGGATTTTTAAATAAAGCTGCTATAAATATGTTTATATTTTTCTTTTTGTCGACTAAAGTTTTAATTTCTTTTTTCTTAACATAAACTCAAGATTTTATTGTCTTCATAAAAGAAAAGAAATAATAGCCAGCATTCTCTTAGATCTGCAGTTGGGCTCCACACACTTAAGCATTAGCAAATCTTTTTTCTAGTTCTAGGCTTTTTCTGGAAAATCAGCTTAGTGTGCCCACCATGGCCACTCTGCTTCCCGTCATAACGCCGCTCTCCCTGGGCACACAGAGAATCCTTGCCCTTTTGTACTGTGTCGCTTTGTGGGGTTGGTGCTTGCCACTCTTCTTACAGAAAGTCCAACAGGTTTTGGGAACGTTCACTATGTTTGCCTGAGCACTATCGGCATGGAAAGAAAGCAGTTTTAATTTCTTTAGGTTCAATTTCTTTAATTTTTCCTGGAATGGAATTGCTGGGTCATCAGGTTGGCATATGATTACCTTGTTTAACTTACTAAGAAAGTGCCGTGCGCGGTGGCTCAAGCCTGTAATCCCAGCACTTTGGGAGGCCGAGGCGGGTGGATCATGAGGTCAAGAGATCGAGACCATCCTGGTCAACATGGTGAAACCCCGTCTCTACTAAAAATACAAAAAATTAGCTGGGCATGGTGGCACGCGCCTGTAATCCCAGCTACTCAGGAGGCTGAGGCAGGAGAATTGCCTGAACCC